CTCGAAGTGAGAAAAATCTCTAAGTTCACTCTATTGAGGAAATGAAAATCCTGTGTCTTTGGGGACTTCTGGTGTCCTAGGGGCATAGTTGCTTGTGTGCATATTAGATTCTCCTAGAGACTGCTTACACCCCAATTTACCTGGAAGGAGCCCTGGGAAGGTGTTCTCTCATGGTGCTGAAGGGGTCAGCAGAACTGGTCTAATTTAGTTTGAGTCCAATTTCTACAACTTAATTTATGTTTAAGGGAAATGATTTAACCTTCTGTGTCACAGTTTTTTTCCTCTGTAAAATGAACATGAATAATTTTCACATTCTGACTGAAGTTGAATGAGATGAATTAGCCTAGTGACAGAGGAAAAAAATGTTCAGATACCAAACAAATGGCTGACACCATTAGAATTAGAATGGCCATTAGAATCAGCATTGGTTCTTGTCACTTTTTAAAGCTTTGTCTTATTTTTGATATCACAATATAATTACATTATTTCTCCCTTTCCTGCCCTCTCTCCAAACCTTCTCACGTACCTCTCCTTGCTTTCTTTCAAATTCATAGCCTCCTTTTTCATTCACTGTTGCTGCAAGCATACATGCATGTCTATATACATTTGTTCCTAAATAGAATCCACTCATATGTGTGTTTTAGGGGCTGATCATTCGGTATTGGATGACCAGTTGGTGTGCTTTTCCTCGTCACTTTTAAAGTAAGAAGAGGCAAGTGTGACAGATGACTTCTGCCAAATGCTTCTATATCAGCATTGCTAGTTCCCAGCATGACAACATTTAGTCCCCAAAGCAACCCCAGATGAAGGATATTGTACCTAATTTGTAGAAGAGAAAACTCAGGGTCAGAGGTTAAGTAACCTATCTCACAGCTATTAAGGAGTGGATTTGCTGCTCAAATCCTATGACTATAATCCTGAGTGGTTGATTGGCCCTGAGTTACTCCAAGAACTTAGATTTGGGCTTTTGGGGGAGGAGGTTGCTAATTTTGTGGGTTTGTATATCCTCTACTACATTGGATGAAGTCACTGGTAATTCAGATATGCCAGCTTTTGAGCTTCCATCGTGGCAAGGGGCTGACCTGAGGAGTTACCACAGAGCATGGAAGCCTTTCTTCTTTGCCCCTGGGTCTATTGTTTCTCCATGTTAGTCATGGCTGCTTACACAGCAAATCCCCAGTTAGTCCCACACATTAATTTAATTATGGGGGTGCCTTAATTTAGGATCCTTTTGCCTCTGGAGACACCTCTGTGCTTGTCAAAGGCAAAGCCACTCAGACACTTGCTATGGAGTCTGTCCTTGATGCTGAGGAAGTGTGCCAGCTTGGTGGTGATGCGGAATGTCAGAGGATGAATCAGACTCATGACCCATTCTTGTCAATGCCACTTGGAGATGGTGACTCCGGCAAGGCCCTAATTCATAAGGGTGGGTGAGGGAGCTACAGGGAGAAAGGGGTCACCATGTTACCGGGGGCAGAGAGTCGTATCCCAGGAGGATCTTGTTGGAAAGTCTTATGAGAAGAAATGATGCGGGATTTCAGCCTGTTCCTTGGTGTCCCTTTGACCCCTTGAAAACAAACAGTCCCTTTAGAATCAGCACAGAATTTTAATGACAACTTGGAGTAAGATGGGATGTGGTCCTCCTAAGTGTTCACACTGGAGAAATTCTTGTTAGTTGTTTGTGTTAGAGGCATTGTTTATAATAAAAACATCAAAGTGGTTATCAGAGGCTTAAGCATAATGCAACTTTGACCTCATATAGGCACCCTGCCATGGATTGAATGTGTGCTTTCAAAATTCATATGCCAAGCCCACAGTGTTGCTGTTTTGGAGAAAAGTCTTTATGGAAGCACTAACCCTTAAGTGAGGTCGGAGTGGGGTCTGATAGGTCAGAATCACTCGCTCCGCCTCTCCGTACACATAGACATGTAAACAGGAGGTCACTATGTGAAAGACACTGGCCACTGGCCAGCTCAGAGAAGCTCAGAACTGCACCGGACTTGTTGATGTCATTATCTTAAAGTCCACAGCCTTTAGATTTGTGAGAAAAGCATTTCTGTTGTTAAAACGACCCTGTCTTTGGTAGTTGTTTCTGATGCTGGTGATTAGTTTGGTGCCTCATGCCTGTTACACTGTCTCTCTGCAGAGTTAAACAGCTGGTTCCTCGGTATTATATCTCTTTCCAGTGCAACTGGAGCTGACCAATAGTGTTCTCATTTAAAATAAGAACACTGGAAAAGAAGTCTGTGGTGAAATAAATATATAAAATTTTAGGGATGTGAAAGAGTCAAATATCCACTTAATGGGTGAAACATGGATGTGTAAAATCACATAACAAATACAGTGATAGCTTAAAATGTTACTCTTTGTATTTTTCAGAAAGTGACTTCTTAGATACAAGGTTGACCATCAGTGAACAGCCCGTTTCTGATAGACACTGATAGCACTCCAGGGCATGTCATTGTTGGCAGCTTATGAATAGGTCTTCATAGCTTCTCTGGAAAAATTTGCCTAACTGTAGGGATTTGTATGCCTAACGCTAGAATGACTGACTTGTCCCTTTGTCCCATAATTATACACTTGCTCTCCACAGTACAACTAATTCCTGCATTATTTCAAAGTGATTTTAACTGCATAATGGCTCACAACACTTGCAATTATGATGTCTTCCACTCATAATTACCTGGTTTGTGTTAAATTTCTCTATTGGTTCTCTCTTACCTTCATCTTCTCATCTTTCTCCTTTGGAAACTAACATTGTTGTATAGAACAATTTTAGAAAAATGTGTCTTTCCTAAATGTATGTAGTTTGAAACAAAGTAATTGAAAGATTGGACTATGATGCCCTAGACTATTTGCAGAGTGAGAGACTTTGGAATGGGATGTCTTTATCAACCAACTTCCCTGCCCTCCAACACACACCTTTCAAAACTCAGGGATCTATGCAGAAGAAGGTGGACGATTGGAAGAGTTACAGGTGGTGGATGATGCCAAGGAAACAGTGTGTTCCAGATACAACAGACTGATGGACATATGCACGCACAGAGACTGTGACAGCGTATACAAGACCTGTATAGGTTCAAACCAGACAAAATCTCTGCAAGGAGAATGGGAACTAGACACAAAGTCTCAGTGTGAACCAAGAAGCTATTTGCAATTGATACCTATTGGGGAAGGGATAATCAATTTTCTCTAGTGGAGTGTAACTGAGTATCTCAATCATATTCCAGGGCATGTGCTGTGCCCAAGTGTTGCTGGCCAACAGAAAACATATTCTATGTTTTGTTTTTATTGTGTACTTATTTTTATTTGGTTTTGGCATTCAAGTCTTTTCTTTTTGTTTGTTTATTTTGATTTTTTTAAGGGAGGGAGGAAGAATGAGACAGAAAGAACATAAAGTGGATAGATAGGGAAGTGGGGGAGGATCTGGGAAGAGTTGGGGTGGGGAAAGAAGATGATCAAAATAGAGTGTATAAATTTGTAAATAAACATTAAATTATTAAACAAAAACATAGTTTGAAGAAAAGGGATGTCTAAAGGACTAGTAATTAAACCAGAGAGATTTTTTTTTTACCTTCATCTATGGTATTTTACTTATCTGAAAAAATAGGCATGAAGCAAAAGTGGCAATGTCTTAATCCGTTTTGTCTACTTCTTGGTGATGCACACCTGTCTCATTCACATATTGTGTTCTGTTTTAAAGAGCCTTGACACACACAAATGAAAAGTCGGATGAAGAGCAGCATGACAACTGTCTTCCTTCTGCTCAAGAGATAGGCTGTATGGGAAAGGGAAGAAATGAGTGGCCATGTTTTCTCCATCAAAGTACTTCTGTTTGGACTCACTCATGTTAGGATGAATGCTTTCCATCCAGATCATAAATTAAGACTGATGCAATCAACTGTGTTTTCAAGGAGAGAGGTAAGATTGACAAATTGTTGGTGATGGAAAGGGGAAACAAACTTCTTTGAACTTGGAGCAAAGAAGATGCCTGGTAATGCCTCATTCTTCTGCTCCACCCAGCTGGGGCTGCTTTAAGCATTTCTCAATGTGGTCAGCTCCACTCTCAAACAAAGGTAGGTTTTTGGAGAGAGATTAGTGGATTGGCTGCCTTTATGTACACACACACACACACACACACACACACACACACACACACGTACAAATAATAAGTATATAACATACGAGTTTTGAATAAACTGTAACTTAAAAAGTGACTCGTCTATAAATGAGAATATTTTACAGATGCATCAAGTCCTTGTGTATTGTTCTTCATGGCAGCTGTCAAGTGTGCTCCTTCTGATGGGTGTGGGTTCTCCAACTGGCTGCAGAGTCCCCTTTCAGGCATGTTCACTCAGGTGCTAACTGGCCCCTGCTGGAATTTGGGCATGCTTCCCTCATGTAGAGTTAATCATGTGACAGGCAAGATAGCCAAGCTTTTGCAATAGACTGTGCCCATCTTTTACAGAAATGCCAGCAAAGCGTTGTAGAGGAAAATTCATTTTAGTTCCCCACTGTGCCTAATTATAAATAAATGGTTGGAACATTTAAACATGCCACAAATGAATGACTAGACTCTCAGCAGCACACAATTCTCCCCTCTCTGACTTTAGATTAACTAACTGACATTCCTCATCTTTAATTTCCATAAATTAATCATTGTCCTTACCCAAGAAGGCTTATATTTGTTAATTCCCCCAAAGCTTAGGACTTATATGCACATTAGCTAATTATGCCCCATGGGAAATATCTGAGTGTCTCTTTTGCCTGACCGTCAGTGGAGCCACTTTTTACATGCGAGCTCTGTTCAACTATAGGTACTTAGAAAAGAAACAAATGAACACAGTAAAGACATGGTTAAGAATAATTCAAAGTTTGCTCTTTCATGTCATGTTGGGGATAAACTCAGGGCCTTGCACATGCTAGGAAAGTACTCTATCGCTGTAGGATGGTCTGTATGTCGAATGTGTTGCTCTGATTGGTCAATAAATAAAACATTGATTGACCAGTAGCCAGGCAGGAAGTATATAGGTGGGACTAACAGAGAGGAGAACTGAGAGAACAGGAAGGCGGAGGGAGACACTGCCAGCTGCCACCATGACAAGCAGCGTGTGAAGATGCCGGTAAGCCATGAGCCATGTGGCAAGGTATAGATTTATAGAAATGGGTAAATTTAAGATGTAAGAACTAGATAGCTAGAAGCCTGATTCATTAGGCCAAACAGTTTAAATAATATAAGTGTCTGTGTGTTTATTTTATAAGTGGGCTGTCAGACTGCCAGGGCTTGGTGGGATCCGGAGAGAAAACTCTCCAGCTACACTCTATCACTGAGCTGTATCTACAACCCAAAAGCTTATTTTTAATAATTCATTCAATACAAACTGAGTACCATGTTCCAGGTATGGAGCTAGCTTCTAGGAATGAGGTGGTAATACAAAGATAATCCTGTTTGCTTGAGATGTCAATTCTGGTAGGAAGACATTTTCAAACACATTTAGATGGTTAACTATTACTTAAAATTACATTTTCTCCTGAGAACTAAGAGGTTATATATCTAAGAATTAGGTTAGCATGAGACAGCTAGGCAGGTTCATGAGGACAGCCACTGGGATATATAGGAAGCCATCTGCTTGAAGGGAGAGAAGGTGGAGACAGACAGATGAGGAGCACTGAGTTTGGGGAAAACCACAGCAAGGATGGAGGGGTAAAAAGGAGGCTTGAGGGGTAAACTGAGTCGGACTCTGTAAGGATCAGGGTTCTAAGTTGTCATGTTACTTCTCTGATTTTTCTTCTCCCATTTTTCTTTGTACTTATGATAGGTTTAGGAGAGATAAAAATACCTTTGAAATCCCATCATGTCCTTCAGTGAACATGCTGCCAAATGTTCTGTCTTTCTGCTGAGTGGGCTGGGCCACCAATGCCCTGTTGAGTTTCCTGTCCAGTTTGCCATAAACAATAAAAATAATGCTAAAAACCAGTAAAATAAAGTAGTTGTGGTCTGGCTAAACTGCTTTTCCCTTTTAAGCAGTTTCTACCTCCCCTGCCAAAAATGCTTACTTAAATATAGATGTATGTCACTTAAACAATAGGGATTCGTTCTGAAAAATGCATCCCTAGGTGATGTTGCCATCACTCAAATGCTGTAGAGCATAATTACAAAAACGTAATTACAAAAAGTAGGTGGTGTAGCTTACTATGTATGTAGGCTATCTGGTTTATACTGTCACATATGCAGCCCATAATTGACAAAACTGTGCAAAAGGACAAGAATATATATATTCTTGTCCTTTTGCTGGGACAGAACACATGACAGAAGCAACTTAAGGGACTAAGGGTTTATTTTGGCTCACAGTTCAGAGGGACATGGTCTATTGTGGTAGGGTGTCCTCTTGGCAGGGATACGAGGAGGTTAGACGCACTTAATCTGCAGAAAGAGATGAATATTAATCCTTAGCTTGTTTTCTCTTTTTATTCAGTTCAGAACCACATGCCATAAATGTGGTCTCATCCACATCTAGGGTGAGTCTTCTCTCCTCAATTAACCCTTTCTGGAAACTCCTTTGAAGAGGTATCCAAAGGTTTGTTTTTTTAGTTGATTCTAAATTCAGTCACATTACAATGAAGATGTCTCGATGGCTTTGAATGAGGGACATGCTCCAAGTTTTCACTATGAGCTGAAGTTGATAGAAACCATGTTGCCTGCTGGTGCTGGGATGCAGGTTATCTCAAAATGAGAGCATCTGAAGTGTTTAAGTTTCCTAAGTGTATTTTAGAAACCTAATGCATGTTTTGATGAATTTTAAACTAGTTCTTCTTGGCACAAGCTCACTTAGTACCTTCCATCTTACTATTTTTTTTTAAAGTTAAAAAAAAGTCAATATTGAAATGGGCTAGCCCTTTCAATTAGTTTTAATGGTCTGCTGGTCTCCATGTCACTGAATTGGAACCTATGAATTTAGATGTATTGCTGAACTTTTAAAAAAGGTCTTAAGAATTATGTTTAGACTATATCAGATTAATACTAAATAGAAGGAGTTTGGATTTTGATCAGTTTATCCTGAAAGTGTGTCTCTGAAGTTAACATGTTTGATAAAGCTTTGTGAGAAACTACATAGAGCTTTTATAGGCAAAGTAAGCTAGTGTTAAAAATGGTTAAAAACCATGAAATGGCTGTCACAGAGCACAAATATTACGAATAGGATGCATGGCTGGTCAGACTAGCTTCAGAAACAGAGCAATGAACTTCAACCTTCTCCAAATTCCTGCTACTGATGCATTGGTTTCAGTAATTTATGCATACTTTTGATCTTAGTTATTTTGGGGGATATTATAATGTGTCTAGAAATTGCAGCTCTTTGTGCATATTCTAAAAGTTAGTATGAACACATTTAAAGATGTATCTTAAATACAGATCTCACAAATAGTGATTGAATTCATTTATAAGAATATTTGGTAAGATTCTGGCATTAAGTTTTAAAGTATAGCCAAGGCAGACTCTGGTCCATGGATGGCTTTGACCTTAGCTTCAGTCTAATTAACAGTAGTACTTGTCCCCCTGTGGGATCATCAGAGGAATACATGTGGTAAGAGCTGGTATGAAAGCCACTGTTGACAGTATAGAGAGCAAAGGTAAAGACAGCAGCTGTGTTAGACATCAGGAGCTTTGGGGCCCTTGAACATGGGACATAGGAGGGTCTTTTGGAAAGAGGAAAGTTAAGATCAGAGATGAGTTTACCACAGAGCATTGTTTCTTGACTTCACTACTACTGAATACTGACTGGATAATCTTTAGCTGGAGGAGATTGTCCTCTTCACTGTAGAATGCTTAATGGCTTCGGTGGCCACTAGATGCCAAGAGCTTTCCCCTTTCACAAGTCATGACACCAAAGGTTATTTCATAGAGGACGAAACTGCTCCTGTTTAAGAACCACTGTTACCAAGAAACAAGAAAACAGAGTCATCAGTAAAGAATGGTGGACAGCTCTAATTTTATACAAAGGACTGGTCACATGTAGTTATCTCTGGCATCATCTGGTTAGACAGCTTCTCTGACTTTTATATACTGTTGTGGTCTCCTAACATCTCTGTGGAGAAGTCTCAAAGATGACCTCCCATCTCCAAAACATATCCTTTCTTCAGGACTCTCAGTCTCAGTGAATATACTGAGTTAGGAAATTAGAGTTCATTTTGACTATTCCTTCTTCCTCATCTTCTATGTATAACCAGTCAACAGGTTCTCTCTCATGGCCATAAGGAAGAATGAAACAATGTGATTTTCATAAAAATGGATAGGATTGGAGATTTTCATATTAAATGAAATAAGCCAGCCCCACAAATATGCATATTTCTTGCTTTCTCTTGTTTGTGGAATTTAGGTGGGGAGAACAAGACACAAAAGTCAGAGGAAGATAATTAACCCAAAAGATGGAAAGGTGGAAAGGATTATAGTAGAGAAGATTATTATGATCAAAGTACATCATAGGCATATATGGAAAAGTATATGGAACATAATGGAACACATTATTTTGCATAATTGTTATATGTCAATAAAATATGTGTAGAAAAAAATCCACTTGATGATTCTTACCATCAAATATCTCCTGAATCCAAATACTTTAAACCACTATTGTGATTGTGGTCAAGTTGGCATAATCTCTTTTGTGAGCCTCCATTATTAAATCTGGAAAGACTAAATATTTAGCTTCTCGTTTCTTCAGCAGCTAAGGATACCCAGTGCAACTTAGTTCAGACTAATGAGATTCTACTAGGACATCTTCAGAGGGGGTTTGAAAGATGCTATTATCTAATAGAAGTCACAGAGATGCTGAAATTGTCCCTTGCAATCATTCAACCGCCTCCAAGACAGAGTTCACGCTGAGAGCTGAAACAGTCAATCTGCAACCCTGAGGAAAAGGCCGCTGGAGTCCACAGAGTGCTAGTCTGACACTTCATAACCACTTGACTCACAGCCATGGCTGCTGCTGTCTATCATGCTTTTACATAAGAAGCATGGTCCTTGTTAGTAGAAGCCACTTTCAGGTCCTTCCACGTTAGTCCCAGATCCAAAACGAGCTTCTTCTCTTTCTTTCTTTCTTTCTTTCTTTCTTTCTTTCTTTCTTTCTTTCTTTCTTTCTTTCTTTCTTTCTTTCTTTCTTTC